GAATGACTCCAAACAAGTTATAAGAGTCACTCTTTATTACTAGTATTAATGGAATTGAATTTGGCTCTCCTTGCATGTGCCATTTGGAATAGTTTATTTTTCACATGAGGTTTGGCAGGGATTTCTCCAAAATAATTTCCCCCCAAACCTACCCCAAAAGCCAGCCTGTAAATTTCAAAATCCCTCTGCTTAGTTTGAACAGCTCTTTAGACTACACCCCAATCTGAAACCTTCATTATACAGAGATAAGTAGTGACCATAAAAAGTTCTTGATTGGTAAGTTAATCATACATCCTAATAAAACGTTTTACATACTCTCTTAATTAATATTTTAATAACATATACAAAAATACTTCCGATCCATGGTTTTCAAAGCAGCTATACTTTAAGTAAGTTATTGTCTTTTTATTATTATTTTCAAAATTCACTGTTTTCAACTAATAGCCTGTGGGCTCAGAAAGTCTGGAATTCACAGCAGTTTTTGCTGTATGGTTTCACATAGTACATAAAATTGTCGGCTTCTCCCATTGCGCTAGAAGACAGGAATGTTATTATTCTAGAAGTTGGAATTTTGGTTTCTAACCATGGTCCAACACAAACGTCTGTGCATTTTGGGAACCTAACCTATCTGAAATGCAACATTCTGAACCTGGAATTAATTGATCATGAAAAGTAAAAACAGCTCCTTATTCATCCTGAAGCAAGCATAAAACCCTCTGACATATTATGGAAAAATAATGCAGTTCTTAACGCTCCTTTTTTGTTCTGGTTGATTTTTAGGCTTGGATCCCTGCCAGACACACAATAAAGTACTTGGCCTTTAGCACAGACAGGCATGATTCTTCTTTCATACTCTCAACTGGGAACTGACAAAACTCAGTACATTACAGATTTGTTTCAATCGAAATGTTCACAGCTAGTATCCAGAGACAGGTTTTCTTATATCTTTTATTTATATTATATTATCAGCTTCCAAACCTGATCTGCAAATATGGAAATGGCTTTTAGAACCACTTAACATAAGGTTTGGTACAGTGAACCTGAGGTGGTCACTAACAAGTAAAGAACTATTTGCAGTGTGGCTGGTGTTCCATGCAGTCCTTGAGTGTACATTAAAAAGATAAAGTTTCAAGGATTTACTACCACCCCGAAAGAAAGAATTGATGTTTTAAGTAACTGGATTTGTACAGTCTGTAAGACAATCCAAGTAAAGCCTCAAATAGATGATTAATTCCTCATTATTTAAATGCCCTTAAATGCAAGTACAGATACTACTGACTTCACAGCTTTGTCTTGACAGCTCCTTTGCTATTTCTCATGGTCTGCTATTAGTCTGTGAGTCTCAAGCCCTGAAAGAGAGTGCCCCATGAAAAAGGCCTCCGACTCCTAGGAAGACAAAGGAGGTTTTTTTCTTGCAGTTTATTGCTTACGTAGTTCTCTCAGGGTCTGACTGATAACTGCAGTATATGATACTACTACATAAACATATTATGCCTCTTTCTGTAGACCCGGATTAGGTTTGTATAGGATATGTTCATGAACGTTTTGATTATCTGACGTCCCACTAAGACATGAGTATGTACGCACATGCTCTGTCTTGAGCTGATACTTCCCCATATAGCCTAGCTGTTTGAAAATTTTAAGGTAATCTCACATTATACTGACAACAACAGACGTTAATTTTCCTAGACAGTATTTATACTTATCATCAGCCTGTCCTTTGGTCAACTAGCTGAGGTTTACTTTAAGCCTTGTGATCCACCCTACAGAATTTGGCTTATCATTTATTCTAGTTATAAACCTGAAAGGGGGGTGGCAGAGGTGGGGAGGAGTCCAAAGGATGCAAAACCCAACAACAAATCAAAGCACAAAGGAACTGGAAAAAAATTTCAAAGGATCTGTGTCTATAGCACAGACAGTGCTATATACATGCGTCTGTGTATGGAGATACACTAAACTGAATTATTCAGTTACTTACAAAAAGAAAAAGAACAGACTGTGGGGAAGGGGGAGCAGAATGAAGGCGCAAAAGAGCAAAAAATTCATCCAGCAACAGATGAGAAGAGCAGAGGAGAACTGGAAAAAGGATGCAGGGGGGAGGAATGGATGACGAGAGAATAGCAGGCCTATTTAAAATGAATTTTTGACCTTATTTTTAAAACATTTATGGATCCCAATTGCCTGTCATGAGATCACTTTCCCTTACAATGCTAGCTTTTCAGCCGGCTCTGCACTTTAACTTGATTTATCCCACTTTAAAAAAAAAAAAAAAAGGATTGTTAGAAATACCCCTTCTATTAGAAATTCTGTCCCATTACAGCGTCAGCTAAAGGCCACTTGTCAATGTCAGCTTTATCAGATAGAAATTTGCCTCATGAGTTCTCAGATATTTTTTTGGAGGACAAGACCCAGGTCCATTTCTGAGGCTGTTGATTTGTGACGGGATAGTGTCTTCTCAGATTATCCTCTGTTATTTCCCAATTTATCTGCGTGTTTCATGAGATGGTGGGAAATGAGTACAGCTGCTGCTGTACGTTAGAAAGACATCTTATAGGAAAGCTGGCTTAGGTTAAACAGCTGACTGACAAAAGCATAGAAAGAACTAATCAAGTATTAAAAATACATAGGGAGACCCAGCATCTCCTTTCCAGCTGCAGTTTTCCTTGGTGCCATAATCTCCTGTGGGAAGGAAAAAACCTTATACCAGAAGGTTTTCCTCCTCCTCAGCTGTCTGTCGATTATTTAAAGAAAGACCTGACATCCTGAAGATTAACGTAAGTTTTTATTTATTTACCGCTATGTAATTAGCCATCAGCATGTCTCTTCACTGACGAGTAAAGGTGGAAAAAATCAGCTGTTGTTCAATCTGTGTTAGCACAGTACTGCTGAGGGTCAGCAGCCTGAGGTGGGAAGGATGACATTGCTTAAAAAAATATAGAGGACTCTCCTGGCAAGATGCTTTGAGACATTTATTTTCTTTTTAATATTTTGATTCTATTTTTTTCCTTCTTTTCTGTTTGAATGGATTGTTGTAACATATGTATTTCACGGGTAAAACTACATGTAAGAGTAGAAATTTCAGCCAGGAGTCGAAAGCAAGCAAGCTGCGGCCACAGTATTTTCCAAACTGAAATACAGTGCCTATGAAAGCAAGGCTGGATGGATCAATGGATGATATTGTTGCAGTCAAGAGCCCAGAAGTCTTTGAAATTTGTAAACCACTTCAACAAGAGGAACTGTTGCAGCAACAAACTTCAGAGTATTAAAGCCCTCAAGGTATAGTCTGATTTTTGAGCAGACTACCATTCCTCACAACAAAACCACTTAAAAATATTCTGCAATGGGGGAACAAAAAGAAACAATCCTGGCACCACTATTATTAATCAGTTCAAGATTGAGATACTTAATGCTCCTTTTCAGGTGCTCTGATTAAGAACAACTTGCCTCACAGGAAAAGCAAAGCTCTGGAAATCAGTAATCTCTGAGCATTATACCTAATAGGAAAGGCTTAGAAAGGATTACCTAGAAGAAACCTTTGTGAATATTAGGAAACTACACTGGACCATAAATCTCAACCTCCTCCAAGGATCAATAAAGCTTTATCAGTTTCACAGAAGAAGTAGGCTGCTGAAGAGGTAGCACTGGCCCAGTCCGGGGCCTCTGTCAGGACACTTATCACGCCACACAATTTTAACAGAAAGACACATTTGATGCATATTCTCACTTCAGTTTACAAAAGCTATTCAGAAGAAGAATGGCAGCAACACAAATTACCAAATTTGGGTCACAAAATTTAAGGCAGTAGACTAAAGTTAACTATTTTAAGGAAAGAACTATTTTGCTGAAGGTGACACTTTTGGTAACTGAATCAGAATAAGATACACAACAACATTTTTGGGGTTAATGAACAAATAGATGATAATTTATGTAAAAACAATTCTTTTAACTCAGTCTCTCCTCAACTGCAATAAAGTCTAGTCTTGCGTAGGATTTTCTTGGACTACAACTCCAATCCTTGAAGCACTTCAGCATTCACACTGGTAGTTTGGAGGACATTAAAACCAACAATGTTAGTTCAAACTTCAGGTGTAGCTAGATTCTTAAGATTTTTAACACAATTCTGTCTCTTTTTAAACTAAAATTTTAAATTTAGCATAAATTGTATCTTATCAAAGTTACATTTTTGAATGCTGGTTGATTATAATTGCTTCTAAAGAGACAGATTCCAGCTCTGAAACCTGCTCAGGTAGAGCTCTTGAGCACCACAGTTGTCATCCCATAAACTACAGCTGTTGCATTTATTTAACACATTCAAAAATCTGGCACTGTTGATTTAATCTCTGGTTCTACAATAGGTTACTCTTCAGTAGTGAGGTAGATAATACGTCTCTGTCTAGCGTGACTCCTAGATGTCAAACAGGGAATACAGCAAGTCTGTAACAGTTCTACAGTGCTGGTAGAACATTTTAAGATCTTTTGATGGGAGAGTAGCAAATGATTCCATTTTTCACTTTCTAAAAGTTAATGATGATATATCTTAGCCAGATTGCTATTGTGCAGTGTGCGGAAGGAAGGGCAGGAGCAGAAGTGCCTCTATTTCCTCCCTCTCACTTTGCAGCTAAGCACGGTGAGTCTGCTCTTCTAACGCTCTTCTTAACCCAAGGAATCACTGGATGAACTGCCAGAGTACCATAAATCCTGCCGAAAAGCCTTGGTGCTACCACATGTGACAAAGTTTGGCAATGACTGCATATCCTGGGTCTAAAGACTGTAAACCTGGGCCTAAATGAAACACAGAGAACGGACAAGTTACTTTTATCCAAGATTTCATACTATGAATGTTTTCTCTGGTGGGCTGGCATGAACGATTTCTCCATTTCTACAGTCCTTCCAAATTCATGTTAAGCTGATAGAAAATTTCTGGAAAACACAAAACAAATCAGCGCCTTCTGCTAACCCTGAATGCTGCAAAAGCACTTTGCATCACATTGTGGACCTACCCAACGCTGGTCGTAATCAGATGGCTGTGTTCTTCCTTCATCATCCTCATAGAAAGGTAAGCCTTCTCGTCGGGCCTGATGGTACTCCTTCCGTAACTTCTGGATACGATCAGCATTCCCACCACCTGTGCAGCCACTGAGGAAAATAAAAAAATGCTAAATAAAACTCATATGTACACACACCAGATACCCATATGAGCACACACAAAATTGCCACACCTGAGACAAACAGATTATCAATGTTTGATTCTCCTGACTTGCATAGTTCCCACTGGCCCATAGCACCCTTTTTTTTTTTTGCTTTCTTCTATTAATAAAGCTGCTAACTGTGAACTTGATCTCCGTTTTGAAAAAACGCTGTCCCTGTCCAAAGAACTTAACAATTCCAGTACAAGACAAGAGACAACAGATGGATGCAGACAGATGGGGAAGCACAAGGAAACTTTTAGAATTCCTATGAGCAGCTATAAATGGCTATCATATTTTAATAATAATGATGATGATGATGACGATGATGATACGCTGCCAAAAAATGTTTCCATTTGCTCCCACGCTAAATGTGGAATTTCCCTAAACTTAAATTTGTTCAAGGTAAAGAATAAACTATATTCAGAGAAGCACAGAAAGAAGTTTTATTTCATAAAAAACGTCCTCTCTCCCAATTATACAATGAACTAAAATATCAGCCATGAAAATACAGGGGAGGCAGGAGATGGGAAAGCACACTATCAAATCTTGACACCATTTTTTTAAATCAGCAATTAAACAGTAATCCATTTAGTAATCCACAATGACTCACTTGTATGATGAACTACATACACTGCAAGCTCTGTGGTATAGCTAGTGGAGCTCCTTAGTTTATCAAGTTAAACACATGCCTTTCTTTGCTGATTTTGACCCTGGCGAGTTTTCCAAAATCTTACAGCTGGACCTGTACAACTGTGGAAGCTCAAGCTATACCTGGAAAGTTTAAAAAACATTCTTGAAAATGCCCAAGAATTAAAAAAAAAATCAGCCACTTTTAAAATGAATAAATTAGAAGTTTCTTGCAGCTTTTTCTAGGCCTGCTCTAGTCAGCACTGACTGTATGGCTCAGTAGCATTTACTGGCATTCACGGGGAATTCTCAGAATTTATTTGTGGCCACTTCTAAACTCAGACCATTGTTATTGCAGCACATCATCATATATTTTCTTCATCTGCAATCTTAACTCTGCCTCACCAACGATGGGCTACAGAGTTACAGATTTCTTCACATGAGCACAGACTCTGTGGGGCATCTTGTCACACTGCACTCCACCATAAGTATGCCACAATCTAGGGAAGCCTGTCATAGGATTTGCGCAGCAAACTGAATTTGGAAAGCACATACAAAAGACTGGTCATAAACCTATCAGTTCAGTAATAAGTAATTTCTAGTATCTAATAGGAATCTAGATTGGTTGGAAATTAATTACCAGTGAAGAGAAATTCCGCAGAGGGTGCAAATGCAACTGAATGTGCAGCCAGGACTGGAAATATTTACTTGCAGCATCAGTATGTTTCCATGAAAAATCAAACACTTAAATTACTTGCTTTCCCTGGATCCTCAGTTATCCAGATCCTCTACTCTGCAAAGTCCCAGAGGTTTCAAGCTTCTCTGGCTAGTTTACCAAACTCTTCCAGAGCATACAAATTGTTTCTCATGATCTGCCAACACAGTGCAGAAAGCTTGCACAAACTCTGGACTATTGAGGAAAAAACCCAGTACATTCCTTTTTCCCCTTGATTCCTTCCACAGATAAATAAATGCCTCCTTCCTTGCATGAATTCCTGTCAAATAGCGGAGAACCATTTCCAGTTTGCAAAACACTGGAATTGGGGACTAGATAATGGGGGGCTATCACTTAGAACAGAGAAGCTTGGTCCACAGCTCCTGAGCAATACAATACCTGTGAAATCCCCTGACTTTACTTGTGAGTACAGATAAAGCATTTAATTAGGGCTGCTAACATACAGATAAGGCTCAAAGTGTTGTCCCTGTTGCTTTGCCAACATCATTACCCAAAGCAGCATTAACTAAGAGAGGGAAACACGGAACTGCAGGCAACAGGTCTGGTTTGATTTCAGCTCTCTGCAAACTGTGTTAGCACCTGCCACAGAAGAGCCACATACCCACCTTCTACCTCCTGGTATTTTGGCCGAAGAGGTGATCTGAAAATACCGTCCTTTTTTTTTTTAAATTTTTTTTTTTTAAAATTATTTTTAAAATGAAATTTGAGACTGATATATTGTAAGAGGCAGTAACAACAGCCTGTGCTCCATTTGCTGCAGAACTCCTGTAGGTGAATTTCCTTCTGCTTAAACCCATGGAGGCAGCAAGTGGAAGCGGGTGCTGCAGACAGCGAGCTAACGATATATATTAAAAGACTGGGCCTGACAGCTCTTTCTATGGCAAACCTCTGCCACACTGTATTAAAGTCCAACCCCTAACCATGGGAATGAGTAGAAACGTTTGAATGAAAGATAGCAGCACATGGAAGTTATCCATCTGGATTAGTGCGAAAACACAAGCATAATCTCTGTGGAAACAAGCAGCTCCGTGAAGTCTGATTTCCTGTGCTTTTCTCCTGTGGGTTCTCTGGTGTCTAACAATGGGACTGAGTTCACACTGCAGTGTTTCTCCCCAGCAAGGCCATTTGTCTGGGCCTCTCTAGAAGGCTGCTTATTTTCATGAAACTCAGTTGATCCAGTATCTTTTCAACATTGAATCACCTGTCAAGTCTGATCAAAAATGGCCAGCAGGCTCATAATTTGTAAGAAAGGTGGGGGGAACAGGTTGGAAGACAGTGGGTCAGTACATCAGCTTCATTTTTTCAGAAAACAGTTAAAGCTCCACTGCTTTTTTTGTTTATTTGTTTGTTTTTCGTTTCCTCCATCACTGTTTATAGGCACAAATGTAAAAGACACTGGCTTTTGAAAGAGCGGCGTTCTGGCTTACCATGAAAGTTTTACCCACTCCTGAGTAATGTGAGATGAATATGATGCCCTGTGCAATGCTCATGAAACAGTTCTGAATTTCAAGTTGGCTCCTGACAATTATGTGAATATATGAACCACATTCAAACTCACCAGATGAATTCAATCAGCACTGTGCAAATATCGCATACATAATCTATTAGTTTACCCCAAAGAAACTGAAGCATTGAATTCAAACAGAATGAAGTCATCAGTAATAAAAAAAAAAGAAACTGATAAGGCAATATTAAAAAAACCCCACAATTTTCTAAGATTTGCGGAGAAGATCATACATTGACTGTAAACTATTCTCCCATCTGCCTATAAATACATAATTAAAAAATATTGGTTTGATCAGATAGCAGTTCTAGACGGGGAAACAGCAGATGAATACCAGTTTAAATGTGGATGCATGGCTATTTATACTGAAAAGGAACCTGAGCCTACAGAAGAAATATAAAAACAATACTCCGATCAAAGTCAATTATGTTAAGGAGACTTATTGAAACTTTTCACCAAGCCTGGTCAGTACAGCAGACAGATTTCTTTTACAGTAGCTTTACATTTAATGTAGTGCTCCCTCCTTGAGGAGATATAAATATTACAGTCCTCATCATATCTACAATTCTGTGCACAACTCACTTCCCTGACATGGCTCCGTGCTATACATTCTTTGGAGAACTGCACAACCACACATTTACCACTCCCCTCCACCACTACGTGTGCCCAGGCTCTAATATTTAATCTACCCATGGACTTCTCCATTGTCATGACAAGACTGTAAGAGAATTGTCCGCTCTCCATTTTTGCAATTGATTTCAGGATGATTTGCTAAAATTCTGCTACATGTAAGGAGACTGATTCAGAAGCAGTTCATACTCGGATAGAGTCTGAAGCTATTTGAGGGAGTATTAAAATAAAAAAAAATCATGGGGGAAAAACCTCTGAGAAACTTTACAAAAAGTTTAGCAAAGACTCAGACGCTGATTTCAAGTAACAGTAACGAAACCTGTCCAAAATCCAAAGCCACAAACAATCTTTAAAAAAGTTCAACAGTTCTTCGAATAAGCCACACACACTGCAAGGACTTTTTTTTTTGGAAGTAGAAAAAAAAAACCCACAACAATCTTATATGAACGTTCAAAAGAGGAAAAAGCATGTTCCTGTCATCAGCCATTCTGTAGTTTTGCTAGAGACAATCCTTACAAACCAAGGCTTTCTTCTGGCCTAGGAGAAAGGCAAAAAAAAAAAGTCTGAGTGATCATTCTAACCTGTGCTGCTGGGGCTGTACTACCAACTACATAAACAACTGACAGAAATCACCATCTTCTGCTGTGTGCCTGAATCTGTCAGAGGCGCTATACAGGTTCCACTTTGCCCACTGCGACTGTAAAGGGACCTGCTAAGAAACAGCCACTCAACCGATACACTTGGAAGAGGCATCCCAAAACAGAAAGGAAACCTTAATTTGGCACAGATTTAGCTTCAAGCTACCTCTAACATTACATAAAATATGACTGTGAAATTTAATCCCGTCATCTCCGAAGAGATACATGAACAAGCACCATAGCAATATATACCCAATATGACATACAAGTTATCTTCTTCAAAGAATCAAAACATCATCATCAGTACTTAATACATATGGCTCATGTTTTGCACAATAAAATCTCCTCTCTGTGCTTCCTATGAGTTGCTGATCTGAATTTCAATAATTCAGGTTAAAAATGGCATTTTTTAATTTAGTGACTTCCTACTTCAGCTCTCTAGACAATAAAAAATTAAAAACAAGTGTTGCACGTACAAGAGTGAGATGAACCACTTCAAGCTGTATATAAACATACATTTAAAGAGGCAATAAGAATTTTGTTTCCAGTGGTTTTCCTGAACACTTTAATATTGCACAGAGCTTTTTTGCCAGCCACTTCTTTCAAACGCTGATTTCACCCAGCTGATTGTCAGCCTCTAAACAAAAAACTGGCGCTTCCAAGTCTTTTTTATTTTTTTTAAAAAAGAAAAATTATTCTTTTAGCAAATTTTCCATTAACAAACAAATCCAAGACAAAACGTAATTCAGACTCATGAGTATGGACAATCTTCCATTCACTATCTGCTATAAAACAAAACTAATTTTATATAC